AGCAGTCAGAAAATCAAAAGAGACATTGCACTGGGAAAATCTACTGTCAGAGACCTCTCTACAGTGTTAAAGAGCAATCATGTGCGCTTGATCCAGGCCACAGTCTTACTGGTTATGCATCAAAGAGCTAGACAATGACTAAGGATGACAGAATAAGCAATGCCTTTGAGTTTTGGTGCTGGAGAAAAGGTATTGAACACACCATGGACTACCAAGATAACAAACAGGTCTGTCCTGGACAGGATGAAACCAAGGTGCTCCTTGAAGGCAAGGATTTTGAAGCTCCATCTCACATCCTTTGGGCATGTTGCAAGGAGGAACCAGTCCTTGGAGAAGGACATCATGCTTGGAAGGGTGGAGGGAGGGCACGGAGACAAAGACCCTGGATGAGATGGGTTAACAAACACGGTCACTGGGGTAAAGGTATAGATGTGTTGGAGACAGTGGGACAGGCTCAGGATAGGACAGAGTTCAGAGCTATTGTGCATATGGTCACTATGAGTCACAGACAACCCGGCGGCACATAAAAGCAATGATTCATAACCATGTTTTTCGGTTTAGATATAGCTTTTATTATATAGACATAATTTATTTCATTAATGTACGTTGTATTTCAAGCGCGTACAGCTGTATAATGCTGAAGGAGGGGGGCTAGGCAAGGGACTGAGAGCTCTAGCCTTGAGCTTTAAAGTGTGGCCTCTCAACGTTTGTTTTGGGGTACACCAGGGATTGGGGAAGAAAACACACTAGGCAAAGAGCTTGCCTCAGGATCAGGACTGAAATACATTGTTGTTGTTAAGTGCTGTTGAGTCAGAGGCGACTCATAGCGACCCTATGAATGAAAGTCCTGGACACCTGTATAACTTTCGTCCTTTCTCTAGGTTCATAGGCTTTCCAGAAGCAAACTATTATGGAAGTGGATGCCACTCCTGCTTTTAAGCTTGTTTTAATTGGAGAGCTCCACCAAGCACTGTCCACCATAGGTGACCATTCTCACGTTTGACACATCAATGTCACAGTGTTCAGCTTCACAGCCACCACGAGTTACCTCTGGACAGAAGGTGGACATACCGGGGTTACACGACCTAGAAAAATGTCTCACCAAAAACAGTTAAAGGCAGGCCTGAGGGTCGTGGAGTAGCAGTCTGATCTCCAGATAATGTGGAGTCTGGGACGATGCCTTCTCCCCAGAGCATGCCGAAAGATGCACAGATGATGGCACAAATCCTCAAGGTTGTAGACATTACAGAGTATGAGCCAAGAGTTAGAAATCAGATGTTGGAGTTTGTCTTCCAATACATAACTGCAATTCTGTTGTTGTTCTGCAATTCTAGATGATGTAAAAGTTTATTCAGGCCATGCTAAGAAAGAAACTGTTGATCCAGATGATGTGCAATTGGCACATCCTGTGTCATGCAGACCAACCTTTCACTTCTCCTCCCCAAAGAGATTTTTTATTAGATATTGCACAGCAAAGAAATCAAACTCCTTTGCCTTTGATCAAGCCATATTCTGGTCCTAGACTGCCATCTGATAGGTACTTCTTAATTGCTCCATATTATAGACTAAAGTCCATACAGAAAAAGACATCTGGTGCTGCAGGAAGAATAACAGTTTAAGGCCAAGTGTTGGTTACATTACTAGCAGACCTGGTATACCACAGGTATACACTAGGTATACCAGCCCCACAAACCATGTCTGTTTCCACTAAAGTAGGGATTCCAGTGTCCCTCACAGGGTAGCAATTTACAGTCCAGATACCCAGCTGTAAAAGTATCAGTCTCCAGCTATAAAAGTATCAATTCCAGCAACATCAGCAGTTCAGAATATCCTGATTAATCCATCATTAATTTGGTCCAAAACTATTCTTATTACCACTAATATGGGATCATCACAAAATACTGCCAGTTAACCATCTATTGAAAGGAAATGTGAAGATGACAATGATGATGATGGTGATGACTATGATAATTTATAATCAAGTCTTGATACATGTAACATACATGCTTCATCTTAAATCTGTTGTACAGAAATTAAACATGCATGCTGGATATTTTCAAGTTGTGTCTTAGAAAACTCTATTAGCACTTAATGAATGAATACAATTCTCCTTTTCAATTGAGATGTTGGATTTTTAAAAAAATAATATTAGTTGTGGTTATCAGCCTTTAAATGAGAAAAATAAAGATGTCATTCATCAAAAAATATGTGCATTGTATTTCATGTATTCCTTCATTCGGATTGTATTTCTTATAATCATTTACCTAAATTGTGTCTTATAAATTTAATCACATCTATGCCACTGTTTCCCCATCTTTTCAGATCCCCATTGGATCTTTCTTAATTCTTTCACCCCCTCTCTCCACCCACCAAACTCTGTGACCTTGTGATTTCCACCCTTCCCCAAACCCCTCCCCTTCCTTCTTTGGACATTTATACACATTGTACTAGTATCCTGCTATTTTTACAATAATAGTTTTATGTACTATTTGTATTTTTGAGGCTGTGTTAGTTCACTCAGCATAATGCTCTCTAATGTCTTCAATGTTATATAGTATTTTTTTAAATCATTGCTCCTGAGAGTTGCATAGTAGTCCATCGTGGAATATCTCATAAATTGTCAATCCATTCATTTGTTGATGGACGTTTGGGCTCTTTCCATGTTCTTGCCATTGTGAACAACATTGCTGTGAGCTTTGGTGTACAAATCTCTGTTCATATCTCAGTTCTGTTTTCCTTGAGGTATATTCCTAGCAGTGGATGAGCTGGGTTATACGTAATTCTTATGTTCAGCTTTTTGGAGAAATGCCAAACTGCCTTCCAGAGTGACTATAACCATTTTTAAGAAGTGGCTGTCCTTAGAGTATCCAGAGAACTATGGACACACTCATCCCAGAAAATTACATATTCTCTCATGTAGGCAATAGTTCATGTCTAATTCATAGGGGGTCAAAGAACTAACCTGAAGCATTCCTCATTCAGTTCTCCTTGGCCAGAAAGTTCCAATCACCAGGAGAACACTAGGCTCCCCCTAAGTACCCCAATATCTACTGATTCAGCATTTTGAGCAAGAAGCATAGACACCTATTAGGGAACTCTGATCCAGTCCTTAAAGATAAACACATATGTCTAATATCCCTGCCAACCCTCGTATCATAGGCTTCTCTTCAGTTGTACCAGTTAATTGAGGTTTTGCCTGTGCAGGGAAAGCCAAGCAGTGGAATTTTAATAAAATAAAGAGACACCCTCCTTATTCACTACTTCACAAGTGATCCTGAGCACTGGGTGGAAGTCAGGACGCTGGTCTGGAGTCTGTAATTGCTCTGACTTTAGAAGGTGGCTTCTGGGCCTGAGAGACCAGCTGTCATCAGGTCACTGAGCTTTACTTCGTGGCAGCCTGCTCTGCTGACCTGGAGAATCCCAAGAGCCAATCGCTGACAGTGAGAGGGTTCTTCTGTTTACTAACTACGAGGAGGCAGCGAAGACTTCCTGAGAGTGTTGCCGTCCTGTGAGGGAAGGTAGAAAACTTAGTTTACATGTGTTTTTCTTCAATTTTTTTCAAGGGATGTTTCTGATCTGACTTTACGTAAATTACTTGAAAGCAAAATGAAGACACGTCCTTGGGTGCCCAGGGAGTGTTAGTTGTCACTGATGTCACTGATGTTACCCCCAAAAGAAGCTGCAAACATCAATCAATGATGATGACTTTTGTAAATAAAATGTTTAAGTTCCATACAATGAATTGGTAAGCACTGGTGCTTACCACAAAGCCTGGCACACAACAGGCATTCAATTAAATGTGTTATTGAATTAATTAAAGGATGGATGAATAAACAGTAAATGAGTGAGAGACTCTTCTAGAAGTTGTTTTTTTGTGGGAAAGGAATGCTTTAATACTAAAAGACAGAAGCATCAATTAAGTCTGTAGGCATGGGATAACTGGTTATTTGGCCACCCCAACACATCCCAACCTCTCCTAACAAGACAAATGTCTGTCCCATTCGTCCGTGCTTTATCCTGAAAGCAGGGCTTTTCAACCACAGCATCATTGGCATTTTGGGCTGAGTAATTCTTTGATGAGAGGCTGTGCTGTGTAGCACAGAATGTTCAGCAGCATCCTAGGCCCTTCCCCACTAAATGCCAGCAGCACTCTCCCTTATCAATACCTCCAGATGTTGTTGAATGTCTCTGAGATAAAATCCATCTCAATTGTTAAGGTGAAAGATCTCCATTGCAAAACAATAGAGAGGCTTACACTCCTTGAACTAGAAGTTTAGGTGCTGTATTCCAGTCTCAATTTCTGAGTTTTCAGGAGAAGTGAGTGCTTGGTGTCTGAGATGGGACTGTTGACTTTGAATGTCTTTCTCCCTTGGGACCGGGGCCCCTCTGTAACAGGGAAAGTGAGGAAGCAGTGAATAACCAGTGCCGTCTCTCCAAAGTGGGCTCACAGCAGTCAAGAGTCTGGACTCCCAGAATGAGTATCCAATAATGTAATGATAAAATAATAATAGCCGCTTTGTTTGGACATCAAGTATGACCAAGTCCAAATGAGGACTGTCACAGGCTTTATCTCATTACATCTTCAGCACCATCAAACTACGTCCACATTTTACAGTGGAAGAAACTGAGGCTGAGAGGAGCTAAATCACACATTTGGCAAGGTCATGATGAAGAGCGATTCAAAGCCAAGTCTGTGTGACTCAAGAGAGCACAGTGTCCTGCTCAGCTGGACTGCTCGTGTCCCCTCAGGGAGGTCCGCGTCTGGAGTTATACGCCTGGGGGGCTGCCATGGAATCAGGGGAGTGGAGAAACCATCTCAGAGATGGATTATGAGACCATGGTGGCAATCTCTGAGAGCTGGGAACTTCCTAGGGAATAAATTCTGATAACTCCAGCCACCACATGCATCATTTCCACAGGGAAATGATGCTGGTCTCTGGGTGATGAGAGTCCAGCTTGCTGTCCTCTGACCACAGCATTTGTTCTTTCCTTATCCACAGGGTATTTTTCCTGAATGTACCATTAGATTCTGTCATTGAGCGACTAACCCTGAGAAGAACCGATCCTGTCACAGGAGAAAGGTTTGTGTTGGGTTCTTACGATTGGCCGTCTGAGGGCGGCTAGAGATCCAGTTCAACCAAGGAGCCCCGTCTCTCTGGCTGGTTGCCTAGTGCCATGGCAGGACTTCTCCAGAGCTAATACTGGTTACTGTTTGGAGACTCTGGAAAGGAGGTTTATCAGCTGGCTCCTCTGTACAGTCTGTTGACCCTCTTTGCCTGGAAGAGAAACCAGGAAATGAATGTTCAAAGCTCTACCATAATAAGTGGGAGAAATGTTCACCTGTACTCTCCTGGGTCAACAGTATTGACTGTGTAAGTGAGTGGACTCATTGGGTAGGAGCCATCTGTCTGCTGCACCGGACCTTTCCTCTCACTGTGGGGCATCCCATTGGCTGCCTAAACAAGCACATCTTCAAAGGGACCAGCTCACCTTCGAACTTCTTCCTAGTTGCAGGAGGTAAATCTTGAATTTTATTCTGCAGTCTGACCGAGTATCATCAGTACAAGGGCCTCTGGTTGGTTGTTAAAGAAACTCTGATGGCATACTCCATTGACTGGAGCGCTGACGTGCGCTGCTAGGCCAGATGCTGTGCGTCTTGTCTCACATGGTCTGGATCCACTGCCGCTCCAAGGGAAACAGACAGGCGGTCCCATCCCATTATGACTTCCAGCCTAGAAAACCTGCTGGAGGCTTGCTGTGAGGTGGAACCAACTCAGTGGCTGTGAGTTTTATAAATAACTGCTATGTGGTAGACTCCGCCATCCCTCCTGGTGACCAGGCCACTATTTCTGGGACTCAGACATGAGGGAGGAATGACACTACCAGGAGTCTTATGAAGCACAGATCCAACCTGTATCTAGGTCCATATCCTTCACGTTGTGCTGTCCAGGGCCTCTGCCCACAGTGACTGCCCATGTACTTATGTCATCTGTCATTGTTGTTGTGGATTATACTGTGTTCTCTTCCTGCATTTGACCATGAGACTGTCAATGTCGATTTTGCTTACCGTGCCTTGTCAACAATAGATAAACTACCAGACATGTATTTTTGTTGCTGTTACATACTGGTGAGTCAGAAAGGACTCATAGCTGACCCTCCTGCAGGTTTCCAGAGGCTGTCAACGGCACAAGAGGAGAAAGCCCATCTTTCTCCCATGGAGCAGCTGGTGGATTCGAACTGCTTGCCTATGGGTTGGCCCCAAAACCCCTTATCACTAAGCCACTAGAGCCTGTCAGACATAATAGTAGATGTTTAATAAATGTTGTTTGGAAGGAAGAGAGAAAGGAAGATAAGGAAAGAAAGAAGGAACTTGGCACTTACTACATTCTTCCCTCTTCCTGTCACTGGTCACACCTCTGTCCTCTGGGCATAGACCATGTCTTCTGTCTCTCTGTGGCCTCAGGGCCCAACCCAAGCTTGCAGCCAGCAGGTGCACAGTAAATGCTTGTTTTTTTATGGTGATGACCAAGGTACCCTAAGTAGGCCAGCAGCAGAGCTCAGGGTCCCACCCTTCCCTGCCCTCTCCCCAGCCTGGTCCATGGCTCATCCGTTTCCCCTCCTCTCTTGTAGGTATCACCTCATGTACAAGCCACCCCCAACCATAGAGATCCAGGCTCGGCTCCTGCAGAACCCAAAGGATGCTGAAGAGCTGGTCAAACTCAAAATGGATCTTTTCTACCGGAACTCTGCTGAGCTGGAGGACCACTATACACATGCCATCACCATCAATGGGGACCAGGACCCCTACACTGTCTTTGAATACATAGAGAGTGGGATCATTAATCCCCTGCCCACGAAAGTCTGCTGATGCAAACAGAGCAGTGAGCATCCCCAGAGAAGCAGTCGCCCTCTCACCCCCGCCCCACGGTACCAGAGGTGACCCCCAGGGCACCAGTGTCCTTCTCCAATTATTTTCCCCCTTGTCTTTGTAACAGTCCTCATTAGGTGAATACTTAATGTCCTCTTTTGTCAGTGAAGAAAAAATATTACACAACACACACACACAACCTTCTGGAAAGATCTACTAAGCCAATAAAGAGTGCTGGATGCTGTCTTGTGTCCTGAAGGTGATGTTCCTGGAAAACTTTGGGGTCTGGGAACACAGGACGGGGGACACAGTGAAGCAGTAGGCAGCAGGCCGGATCTCTGGGGTCACATCTGGGTGAGCACTGGCTCCAGCAGCAATACGCTGTGTGTCACAGCCTTGAAGCCTCTTATCTCACTCCCAAGTGGGGCAATAATAGCACCGGCTTACAGCATTGCTGTGGGGTTAGCTGAGGTACTGCAGATAAAGCGCTTTAGCCATTATGCTGAGTGAAATATCCCAGTCACAAAAGGACAAATATTACATGATGCCACTGTTGTAGAATGGGACTGTCCTTGGGGTTGGGGAGAGACTGAGTAAGATGGGTTCAATAATGTATACTGCACTGAAACAGAGGAGGGAGAGAACCGTCTAAAAGAGAGATGTAACTGGGTATTTCTGTCATCACAGGAGACTAGAGCGAGGGCTGCATGGTGGAGGGGACCTGGGGGAGTGTTTGTAAAACAATGAAAGAATCTTTTCTTTTACTTTTCCATAATTTTTGGACTCATGTACTTATAACTTGTTAGTCAAATTTGTGTCTTCTAGGTTGCAACACCCTCATGATACATCTTGAAGGATATGTACATGTACAGCCAAACACAATAAGAGTGCATCTGAATTCCAAAATCAATCTCCATAATAGTCTATGTGTTTCCTACTGCCAAAGGGGCCCTTTAGAGTAGTGAGAGAAGATCTTCACCCTGAAACCCACAGCGTCCCTTTTCAGCAGGAAGTAGCTAAGAGAATACGCCGTCCCCTTTTCCTTATGACTCAGGGTGAAGTCTCTCTCAGGGAGGAGTGATAGGGAATGGCAAAGGATACACTGACAAAGAAGATTAATCAGAACTGGCTTTGACAAACACTGTGGCATTTGGACAAGAACAAACTGGGAGGAGGGTAGAGAGAATAGTGCAACAATGAATGAGTGGAAGCCCAAAATCTCTGTAAATGTTTATGAAAATTAATAAAATATAATTATAGAAAAAAAAAGCGCTTTAGCACTGTGCCTGGTGCACAGCAAGGTCTCCATATACTCAGCTTTGATAAGGCCTCCACCTCTCACACAGCACCATCTAGTAGAACGCACTAGTGAGCACAGACTCGGTATCTGTGCTGCCCAGTGAGGCAGCACTAGCTGCACATGGCTAGTGAACTCTGGAGGGTTGCCTTTACAACTGGTTTAGAAATTTTCATTTTCACTCATTCACATTTAAGTAGCCACTGGCTACTTACAACCATTTTTACGACCTGCCAGAGCCCTTAGTCAGCCTTCCCTCAGGTCTAAGTTCTTCCCCTCCAGCCCTCAACTCCACAGCCCAGGGAAGAGGTGCCCACCCTGAAATGTCATCCTGCCATGTGTACCTGCCCAGTAAGTCCCCCTTCAGGCCAGAAGGACCATCGTTACAGACAGTGAGCTCAGGTTGTAAACATTCCATGGAGCTCATCAGCATTTTGTGGGTGAAACTGCAGGCTCTGCTCCCCGGATGAGAGGAGGCAGCAAGCAGGAAATGTGTCCAGGCACAGCTGCTGACTGTGCTCCTCCCCTCTTCCTGTCCTTACAACTCCCTGAGGATGAGATCTCCTCTAGCCTTGGTGCTCTTGATGACGCAGCATTTGAGTGTGAAATCTTGTTGTACGTTGCCTTCCGGGAGCCCCTCAACTCATAACAGAGGTGAGCGCCACTGGATTTTCTTAGCTGTCATCTTCATGGCAGTAGATCACAAGGCCTTTTTGCTGTAGTGTCTGGGGGGTGTATTCATACCTGCAACCTTCTGATTGGTGGGCTAGTGGGTGACTTTTTCCACTACACAAAACAACCCCAACCCAACCCACCGCCATCCATATGCTAATACTACGCCAGGAAGGCCACCCAGGGACTTTATTTCATGAACACATTGATGCCTAGTTCAGGCAGGTAAGCATTTGAGTGGGCCACTTGGGGTTATCATTATTGATCCTCTTCCCACTGCCTCCCCCAAAGCGGCCACCTGTTTGTGGGGTGTCTTGCCCTCTGTGAGTCAGGATGGTGATGTGATGTGCCAGGCCCCCGTGGAGGCAGCTGCATGCTGGTGCTGCAACCGAACAGCTATGTGATTTGGGGCAAATTATTCCACCTCTCTGGGATCTTGTAAAATAATGCAAAGAAAATGGTAAGCTAAAGCCTGTAAAGGCTGGGAATAGCCTGGCACACAGTAAGTGTTCAATAAATGCAGTTTCGCATCGTCTTCTCATCCACTTGTCTCAGCTCCCTGGAGGTTAGCTGTTTATCTCTCTAGATGGAGGAGATCATAGCCCAGCGAAGTTCAAGTGTGCAAGGTTGCACATGCGCTGTTAGAGTTGGGGGAAGGGTCCCGTATCAGCTCCAAATGCTGAGCGAGGAAGGTGTTATCCTGTTTGCTGAGCTCATTTGTAGATTCCCTATTCCCCTGCAGTCAGTTATCTTAGAAGGCTCACTGACAAATGGCCGAGTCCAGTCAGTCCCACCTCCCTGGCCTGGGATTCCTGGCAACCGGGATGTCAGTTCCGCTTGGCAGAGGCCCGGCCAGAAGCTTCATTGAGATGCGCCGGGCGTGCGCAAGGTTACAGGCAGCCCCCTGGGCTGTGCCAGGTTAGCCCAACACGAGCAGGCTCTTGTAGATCGCTCCCTCAGAAACGTGGCGAGCAAGGGCCAGCCCCTGTCTTGCTTTGCATAGCAAAGCTTCCTTGCCCTTTTCTGGGAGAAGGCAGAACGAATTGGGTTCTTCTAATTGGAGCTCTCAGTTTGTGGCCTAATTGGGCCAATTGGCTGGAGTTTTAGCCTCCAATTCCAGCTCTATAATGGAGGGCCTGGCCCATGATGCGCACTCCTGCTCTTGGAGGGCATGCCCACTCCTGCTCCCGAGGGCAAGGCCCTTGTTCGTCTCCCAATTTTCGCTAAACGCTGAGGTTTTGATCAATGTTAATTGCAAAAGAACAAATCGTTTCAGGCATCACCTACGTTAAAGTAGCTCCAAGGTTCATATGAACCTCTTAATAGGAGCTGTCACCATAAACCCCTTCACTGGTCCGCCAGCACTTGTTTATGCTGCTCCCTCTCTGCCCTGCTCCACTCAGAGAACACTCCAAATTGTTGCAGAAGCACTTTTTTAAAAGCACCTTTTTTAAACTCTCAGAGCCGTACCCCACTGCCCTGCTGCCATCATTGGTGTATCTGCTGTGGGACTACAGCTGATTAGACCAGAGGAAGCCCCTACCAGGAACGTGTAGCTCGTCAACCTCTTCATGTAGCTACATGGAGCACCTGCTGGACTATGGGCAACAGAGCAGAACAAGGAAAATTCTTTCACTTTTTCACTCACTGCTGTCAGGTTGGAACCAACTTCACTGGCCTTCCAATGAGTTTTCAAAGACTATAAATTGCACCAGAGGAGATGTCCCTCCTTCTCACTGAGAGCAGCTGGGGGATTTGAACCATCTGCCTTTGGATTGGCAGAGGGACTATATAACCACTAGGCTATCGGAGCTCCTTCAAGAAAATCTGGTAAAAAGGGAGAGTGAAACAGGCATACTCCTCCTTCATCTAGTAAACAAGCATTTACTGAGTGTCTGTTCTGTGCTGGTGGCCTCATAACAGAGCGGTTAACTGCTCAGCTGCTAGCCAAAGAGGTCAAAGGTTCAAGCCCACCAGCCACCCCACAGGAGAAATACAGTCTGGTCCCACAAAGACTGTAGCCCAGGAAGGTCACTGAGAGTCAAAGTCAACATGATAGCAATAGGTGTGCTAACACTGTGCTAGTCACCGGGGAAATAGTGGGGATGGGGGAATAATAAAAGGGCATAAATCCCTGCCCTCATGTGGCTTGAATTTTATAAAGAAGATGAGAGAAATGAGATTTAGAGAAACAAAGTCTTGGTTCTAATGACTCCTGGGTCCCATTTCTGCCTTGGGTCCTTTGAAGCATCTCTGTATTTACCCAGCATGCACCATGTTTTTGCAAGGCTGTAGACAAAAGAGTTTGTGAGCATTGTGTGATTAGAATATTCTGGAGCTGTGCCCAAGGGCCAGGACACAGGTAGGGGGAGATGTAAACGAGGCTTGGTGTTAGGGAGGTGCTCCTCCTAGAAGAGTGACACAGGAGCTAAGCTTTAACACACGGCTGAGAATTCAGGGGCGTGGGAGAATGCCATGTAGTCTGTGACCACAGAGCACGCTTCCAGGTTTAAAAGAACAATAGCTTTCTTTATAAATCTTTTATTACCACCATACATGTTACTAGGAAAAATTTCAAATAGCACAATAGAAGTACATTGATTAGGAATGAAACGCCCATCCCCACCTCAATAAAACATGGAATTGCCAGGGAGATATGGTTGCCTGGTGGCAAGAAGCTGTGCTGCAATCCCAAAGGCACGTGGTTTGAATCCATCATATGCTCTGCTGGAGAAGGAGGGACAATCTCCTCCTGTGCCAGTTGGATCTGATTCAACACAATAGGGGTAGGAGGGAGAGAAATAGTAAAACAAACAAAAATATGGAATTTCCATTCCCCAGAGATAACCACAGTTAGAAGTTTCCTATGTCAGTTGCTGTGGGTGGAAAGACAGATGCATAGTTGGGTGAATATAAATACAGATGGGATTGTATTCTTGTACTGCCCTACAATTTAATTTTTGGAGTCCCTGAGGTACACAAATGGATAACACGTTTGACTGCTAGTCAAAATACCGTGGCTTGCATTAGG